CAGTTACTGCAAAAAGATGTATCGAGTTACAGTTGAATGTTACTAAAAAAATGTAACGAGTTACAGTATGGCGAAACAAGTATCGCGATACTACTTAAGACTGCCAACGAGACAGCGCCGGCCACGCCATTAAGAAGACTTGCACGACCCTACAAGGAGACGCAGGGACCGCCGTAACGATACGATGGATCTCGGGACACGACGGGCACCCCCGGCAACGAGCGGACCCACGAGCTGGTGAACGAGGCTTCACAAACCTACTTCTGCCATGGGAACCCGACGTGGCAGACAGTGACACCCTCCCAAAGACCCTGATGAGGAGCGCTGGAGACGCTGCCAACGAAGATGGCAAGGCTTGCTTCCTACAAATTGCATGTGCGTTTACTTTCTCCTGAGAGTATCATCCCTGAGCCCTTCAAAATAATCTCAAAGGTATGACATTAATGAAAAATAATCAACATGCTGGGAATATTATTTATTGCTTAGGTGGCGACCGAAAAAATCCGTCACCTCAAGATGACGAGTATAAATGCGGAAACGTAGAGCTCGGAAGTAATAATCGCCTTAGTGTGCTGTTGTATTGATGTTTAATATGTGCCGTGTATGGTGTACGCGCTTCATGGATATGTTGAGCTGGAGCTTGTAGTATACGTAATGTATCTACATGTGTTTATAATAAAGGTGCCCGAAGGGGCCCGAAGCGCAATGGTGGCGTGAGCAAATCAAAATAATTTTGTAGCACATGAATTGCGGGGTATTTAGCGCCACCTAACCTCGCTACTGGCAACTGCTCTGCTTGACCCTGCCATCTTGTGGCGAGCGATTTAACCTTCTTTCACGCTTCGCGGTACCGTGCAACAATGAACGAAGTCGGCTGCTTCGAATTTGCTCGTTTGAGAGCGGCTTTTGGTTTTGCGAATGGTTTACCACTCCTCCGTGATGTGCGGTTGACGAAGGAATTGTGGCTCGAGGAATAGCAAAAGTGAGACGTAAAGTGCGCGAAGTAACTGGGTATCCTTGGGAGAAGAGAGTGTTGGTTCAAGTGATGGGTGAAGAAAGAATAAACAATTAGCACTGGGACAACACAACCACACCTTTCCACTTGGAAAGACGTGGTTGTGTTGTCCCAGTGTTAATTGTTTATTCTTTCTTCATCGATAACTAAGTATCGGTCGTCTCCGTTTAACATCGCAGTGCTGACGACGAGAAGACTGAGTGACTGCTTTCAAAACGCAAGTTTCTTTGCCTGCGGGGAAAGCTGCATTCGGAAATAAATACAGTTCGCGGAAAGCTCGTGTTACACTTTTATTTGCTGCTCCTCTCGCCCCGTACATTAGACGCAGCGTTCTCATTAAGCCTTATTGAGCTCGATCTGCTCGATTCGGGGCCACCATAATGAGATGCGACGGAGTAACTTTGCTCCTCTGCTTTCAGGACGAAAGTTTCCAGTTTTCTGAAGGAACATAGATTACAAGAGCGGTCCTCCCTTTCGGAAAGACTATAAAGACGTTTTTTTCTTTTTTTTCTAAGAGTGCCCGCAACTGCTTCCTTTGCACGAGAACCTGTGCAGCCGTGCGTGTTCTATAGAAAGCTCGCGGAAAGAAAAACAAGCGAAGGACCAGCGATATCGATTTAAGGATATAGAAAAAATTCACACAGTATCGAAGCACCAACACACGATTTATTGCATTGATGTGCAGGTCTGGAAGCCGATCCCATCGCCGTCTGTCGGTTCAGAATCACACTAACGGAGGGTGGGGGAGACGTAGCCAACGCTACGAGCTAATGGGATCATTGAAGCATCGTCAAAAGCGTAAGTCAGTGGGCGATTTTTCTTTATGATTGGTTCCGCGATGATAGAACATCTACATAAACAAGACGAACACCATGGTGGTGATTTTGACACTAAATAAACAAAAATGGCGCTTTTGGTGGTGTCTGATGCATGCAGCGTTCACGCAGATGACTTGGGTTTGAATCCTGCTCGGCCCGGATCGTTATTCTATTAATTCTGTACTCTTCAAAGAAATCCCAGTTCATTGATGGCTGTCATCGAGTGTCCTTGTTCAGAACATTCCTGAACTTGCGGCATGTATGAAAGTTGCGGTAACGCGCTGCCTCGGGTTAGTCACCCTTCCGGCGCCGACGCAAGATGCGTGGCACCTTTATCTTTAAGTCTTTAGGCACAAGTTCGCCTTATTAAACGATTATTTTTCGTTCTAAAATCATCTGCTATTCTTACTTGTAACAACATTGCACCAGGCGGAAAGTGGTTATATAGACCCCTTTCGAAGGTAACGTGCCGATTATTAGAAGGTCGGAACCACTGCACAATGGCGGAACAACTGACATCGTAGATCGTGCAAGACATTCCATAAGATAGCAAACGGCGGAGCGCGGCCAACGCTAGGAGCCGACGAGCCAATCCAACAGCGTCGAAAATGCACCATCAATGCGCTCGTCGCCTTTTTCTGTGGGTGTGTTTTTCCTTCACTCCAAGCAAACGCATTAAAGAAACACTGACACCCCCCAAAATTTTTTTTTTTTATTTTTTGCCAGGCGCTTAATTATGGTGTCGGAGGACTACCCAATTAATATTTTGCAACAGAGTAGCGTATTTTTTTAATAAAGCCAAAAGACGCAACTGCTCGAAACCGAAACCGAAACCCGACGGAGGTCGGAGAAGTGGAGAGAAGAGGCAGAAGAGGTGCGAGTGGCGGAAGTCACGTGGCTACACCCGACCGTGCGTTTTTTGTTTTTTTGTTTTTTTTTTCCTCTCCGTAGCAGACGACACGACATGCGGCGTGCGATGCGGCGTGCGGGAACTGCTCGCCGTGCGATTTTTTTGCAGTTATGTTTGTTCCGCTCGTTATTCTGTACTCCAAGATGAGTCGTTTTGTACATTGAGGAGTTGGAGATGAGTAGTGAGTGCCCGTGGTGAATTTCCATGATCGGCTCCGAAAAGAATACACCCAAGATGTTGCGTGAAGAGCTGGCTCACATGTCCTGCATCCGAAAAAAAGTGGCATTGTGCGACAGAGTTTCCGAAAGATCAACGGGATCGGGACCGATGGCTGGCTGCAATTCCTGTAGAACATATACGGGCACCTCGGAAAGCGGACGGTACCTGATTTATACGCTCTTTGCATTTTGTGGAAAGTGATTACATTGAGTTCGCAGGTGTCAAAACGGAAATCCCATACCATTTAATTCAGCGAAGTATCGTCCACAACACTTTTTTTTGGTTCTTCAGTGATGATTGTAAAAAAAGAAAAAGGATATGTAAACATCAAAAAATGTTTGAAAAAAAAAAAAAAAAAGCTTCACGGGGGATCGAACCCGGTCCTACCGCGTGTGAACCGGACGTTTTTCCCACTGAGCTACTGGAGCATCTCTTCACCGGTGGATCTCGTTCCTTAGTAATAATTCAGCCGGTAAACTGTAAGTTGGAAAGTTTGCTGCCGATTTTTCTTTAGCAAAAGCACTCCCGGGTCGAAGTCGGGAAGCACCACGCCTTGGGGACATTCGCACCTAGTAAAGAAATCGTACGCGTGCATATTCAACTCGAAGTAGACCCGTCGTGCTTGACGTTTGCGCGAGCGATGTCTTCAGCCACGAGAAGGGAGCGACGGCTCGGCGACGTCTTCGTGCAAATCGGCTTGGTGGCCGGGCGTGTCGTACGGGATGAATACCAATTCTTTTGTTCAGTCCCAAATTTCTCTTTTAAAGGCAGACAGAATTCGCCGGTACCGCGAACGACAGTTCTGAAATAGAGGTCCCACGCCCGTCGTCCGCTACCCTCGCCGTCCCCGCGAGTCCCGACTCCCACGATACGCGAAACGACGAACGCACAGAATGCTTCCGGTTGTCTGTGGAACTTTTTTTTTTCAATCAACGTATTTACAGCTTTTTAGAAGCCACAAAAAATGGGTTTCATATTTTTTTCTATTTTTAATACTGAGTGTCTGCCTTCAGTGACCAACGACTTTGATTAAATTTGGTGGTCGCATCGATACCTTAGAAAACGGCCCGTGACCGCGAAAAAGAGAGTGAGCGAGACTCGAACCGGCCAGTTCTTGATCGGCGGTTTTGGGGCGGAAAGAAACCGAATTTCGAGCCGCAAATTCTGTTCTGGGTAGTTGAGCACTCATATGTCACGTACAACTAAAAACCTCGGCGAGCATAAATACCCTGTCAGTGTCCCTTTAAGTGTGCCGTGACATTGTGGTTTTCGTCCGCCATTGTGCAGGGATTCCATAGTTTCCAAGAGAGGGCAGAATTTCGAAATGGATCTATAGCTGTCCAAGAGTATATGGATGGATGGCTGGATGGATGAATCCAGCTGAGCCCTTTGGATCGGGTGGTAGCTTATGCCACCTAGCCATTTTGTTTTACCATTTAAACTTAGAATATTTAAATGTGAAATCTATATTCACTCAGCACTGCAAAAGACGTGGGGCTATAAAACCCCCTTGCCATCAGTAAATACCTAGTTTTCTCTCGCTTTCTGCCACCATTCACTTAATCTTTGCCTGGTAATCTCTACAGTCTTGAAATCCACTCTCCCTTCGCTGTCTCTGAAACCCAATGACTTTATTAAATCTGTGTTGTCTTCGGCAGCTGGGAATCCCTGCACAATGTCGGACTAAAACCGCAATGTCACGGCACACTTTATGCGTCTGGCTGGAGTGGGGAAAAAAAAAAACACCCACAGAAACTGTGATGAGCGCAGTGACGTTGCACGTCCGACGCTGTTTGACTGACTCGCCGGCTCCTATTGTTGCCGCGTTCTGACGTTCGCTATTTTAGGAAATGACTTGCACCTCCAGGATGTCAGTTGTTCTGCCATTATGCAGCGGTCCTGACCTTCTAATAATCGGCACGTGACTTTCAAAAAGGGTCTATAGAGAGGTAGCTTTCGTGCCACGTAACAGCAGGAAAAGCTGAGTTAACCGCGGTTAGGGGTGCCCGTGTAACAGGGTTATAAGACATTTCCAGTGCCAAGTAGGACCCAAAAGTCTTGGCCATTTGGGCATGCGACAGAGACACGTGAACACCCACAACACCGTCGGAAGATAAACAGCACAGAAAGGCGACGCGGCTGCCACTGGCTACTGCTACGACTTAGTAACGTTGACTACCCCTTTTCGGAGACGCAGCGTGGGACGGTAGATGCATTGGGGAGCGTGTTAACCCTCGCTTCGCGGGGACAGTCTGCAGGAGGCTCATTAGAGCGTATGAACCCACCTTGCCCAGCCACAAACGCCGCTTCGCGGCGCCCCGCCGGCGTTACAAGCCCCGCTGTCCCCCATTGCACCTCCAAAAAAGGAGTCCCGTTGACTGCGAGCTGCATGGACGGGGGACGTCAAAATAACAAAGCTCCTATTTTGACATTTTACAAATGTGACGTCATAGATGTCAAAACTTCTTTTTTTAGTCGGGGTGTGCAAATAGTGGTTCCAATCGAATAGCGTAGCGTCATCCCTGACTTCTGCACTGTTGAATGAACCGGCCGTCTCGGCTTCCCTTGCACCAACTAGGTTATGAATGACGCAGCGCTATTCGGTTCGAACGTACAACCCTATCACCAGACTTCACGTTCTTAAAAAAGGCAAATTAAATAGCAAAGAATCGCCTCGTCCACATGGCGACCTAATGGCGCATGCGCATATATTTCACCAGCCCCGTGGCACTCTGGGGCGATCGTAGTTAGAGCAGTTTATGAACAGCACTATAGGGAGCGCTTTTTTTTTTCTGCGTTGTAGTTGCTGACCTGGAAGCGGTGTGGTCGTTATTTTGCTCCATCAACAGTTTATCCCTTCAAAAGGAATAATGCGTGAAATCGTACATATGCAGGTTGGCCAGTGCGGCAACCAGATCGGAGCAAAGGTATGAAAGCTGCGTTCGTCATTTTAATTTATATTGCAAACCGTTTCGCTGGTGCTCTGACTTCCAACTCTGGCAGTTGTTAGGCCTAATCAACTGTGGAGTTGCTAGTTGCCCCATTTTTAAAATACGGAGCTCCACAAGTGTTTTGGGATGCGGGCCGCGTATTATTTCCTTCACATTTGTAGCGTTTATGTGACATAATTCGACATTTTGCTTAACTAGGCGTGTCCAATACCGACTTTACCTGTACAGGGCGTCTTCATTAATAACCTCATTCGTTCCATGCAGTAACACATTTGGTCCGACGTTCATTCTACGTGTGGGTTCCTTTTGTTCTCCGCTTCTGCCGCCATGAACCAAATCTTTTTTTTTTTATTTAACTTTTTGTCTGCCCTGCCCTGTCGCAATGTGTGACACGTAAGCTGCTCTTTGCCTGTTCATTGTTGGACATTTTTTTTTTTTTTTTTTATCCGGCCCACGTAGCCGGCCCGCCTCGCTCGCCACTATCGCGTGTTCCATCGGCGCGCCATTTTAGGCAGTCTCGTCGCCTCTGAAAACGGCCACCGTTTTTCGAGCGACTTCCTTTCGTTTCTGGGCGCCGAAAAGCCAGGTTTTAGGGAAGTCCCTTTTTGGGCCTAAAATGTGCACTGCCTCTTTTCGCGTCTTGTTGGGACCGGCGTTCACTCGTGCCCGGAATAACCTCGACCCGTGAACCCTGCGCTGCCGTTGTAGGATTTCGGGAAGTTCATTAGCTCTGGTATTTTGTTCTTTTCCTGCAGTTTTGGGATGTGATCTCCGACGAGCACGGCATCGATTCAACCGGCAGCTATCACGGTGATTCGAACCTCCAGCTGGAGAGAATCAATGTGTACTACAACGAGGCCTCCGGTACTACGTTGTCTCCTCACTTTGGGCGTTTAAAAATAAATAAATAAGTATACTGAATTGGTGATTCACGTAAAGAACCTGGTGCGTTGTATCAGTGGTGACAGTAGTTAACTGAAGGCAGGTGTGCATGCGAGCAGGTTCAATACTGACATGGTAACCCAGGAGCGGGGGAAAAAAGGGGCCGGTCAACATAAAGCTCCAAAAGGCTTTGCTTTGTTCGTCCAGTCTCTTACCCCCCCATCCTGGGGTACTGTAAATTTTATTTGGGTCCTGTCTGATCAAGTAAATAACTGTTAGGTAACTCGTATTTTTCTACTCTCTGAAATTTAATGCTTTCATCTCTAGGTGCGTTTCTGTTTCGATTCTCACGTTACATCTCTCATCAATTAGGTAAAATCATTGATAGTGTGTTGTAATGTTGCTGCGACATTTCACATGGTTTTCATGCACCCGCCATTTAAGTCTGCGAGTTTCCAATCAAATGTGGTTCCTTCCTTACCTCGAAGGTGGCAGGTATGTGCCGCGTGCTATACTGGTCGACCTTGAGCCGGGAACCATGGACACCGTACGGTCTGGACCCTTTGGCCAGCTTTTCAAGCCAGACAACTTTGTGTTTGGTGAGAAACTTCCACTTTCTGGTAGGAGGGCGAAGCACGTGCTATCCGCGGGGTTCGCACAGGACCTTAAAAACCTATGAATTTGGAAGCTGCATTTTCCTGACATTGGAAGCTTTGGAATTTCTAGCATGCTTGAAGACTCTTGAATTTTCCGATAAGTCAGCTTTTTTTTTTTTTTCAGTAATGGTTTTTTTTTTTTTTTACAATAAAATAAGACTTTCTTTTGCGTGAATGTTAACATAAATTTAAACAATGGTAGCAGTCTCGGTGTTTCTGGATCCGGTTTCGCCCGTCCGCCATCTTGCGATCTTGCCTCTCGTTCGCGTTCTGTTTACTGTAGTACTCCGTTCCACGATAACTTGGCGAACTGCAGAGGCCGCGACCCAATAAGTGCGTCGAAGCAGAGCACGTGACATCATTCTATGGATGGATGGTAATAAATATAACCTTTGTAACGGGCGGCAGCTTGCGCTCCCTAGCCTAACATTTCGTCATCTTTTTTTTTAAATGTGTATAAATTTTGTTTTAACACATCCCCCCCCCCCCCCCCCCCCCGCCCCCTTTTAGTGTTCCGATTGGGTTTTTTCATCTGTATTTTCACCCCTAGAACTTTTCCACCAATCTTCCGATCTCCTTTTAGTTACCGCAATTCTTTCCCTATCCATTAATCCGTCCATGTCTGCAAATCCCAGTGCCCCCTCCAAATCCGCAGTCATCGCCCGTCCCCAGTGTCCTCGCCATTCTCTCGCACTCTTCTCCCCACATGAGTCGGTCTCTGGGCTACTCCATAACAAGGAGCCCCCCCCCCTCCCTCCCCCCTCTTTTTCGAATAAAATGGAGGAATTGAGGGCCGAGTTTTCTCCTTTCTGGTTTCTCTTCGGCCTTTAAGCTCTCGGTGACTACAGCTGTTTGAGTGCATGTTGCATAAAACCTTGGTTGTTCGTTTCTGCATAGTTGTACCGGAGGTTGTGGGCCATCTTGTCGTTGTCTAACGAGGTGCTGGGTCTGTACAGGCCAGAGTGGTGCCGGCAGCAACTGGGCCAAGGGTCACTACACGGAGGGTGCGGAGCTGGTGGACTCGGTCCTGGACGTGGTGCGCAAGGAGGCAGAGGGCTGTGACTGCCTGCAGGGCTTCCAGATGACCCACTCCTTGGGTGGTGGTACCGGCTCGGGCATGGGCACCCTGCTCATCTCCAAGATCCGAGAGGAGTACCCGGACAGGATCATGAACACGTTCAGCGTGGTACCTTCCCCCAAGGTCGGTTCCCCCATCCCACTGTCCTTTTTTTTTTTCATGCACGTGTCTCGCGGTTGCTCCTGGGTCCAACGTGTAGGGTGCAGCCGCATGCACTGGCCCAGTGGCATACAGGCTGGGGCTGCACGAAAACAATGTACCCGGATATGTTCCTCTGAAAGGAAGTTGGAAAGGACTGCCAGATTATGTATTGTCACAAGGCGGCAGCCGGTTCCATACCTTAGTATGCCAGGGCATACCACGCCGTACACTGAAAAAAAAAGGGTGCAGCCTTACACCAATGTTGTACACGTTCCTCAAAAAAAGGAACGAAAGCTCGTTCCTCGTTCCTTCCGATTTTCGGAACGCGTTCCCGTTACAAGTTACATCTGTGAAAAAGGAACTCGTTCCCGTTACAGTAAAAAAAAATGGAACGTATCGTTACATATACGTTACATTTGTACTTTGCTAATTACTATATTTAGTTAAATCCAGCAGAGGTTTTTTTTTTATCTAACCCATTAGTAGTCAACATACGAGTGTGTATGTCGTTATGGAAGGGCAACAGGAGAAGAAACCAAGCGAAGCATGGTTTCATTTGTTGATACATTCAAGTTAAAAATCTGAGCTTTTAACCATATTTATGTTTGTGGTGGACGATTCAGACGAGCCGAATGTGCTTTTACCCAACATTGTACAAGCGTTTTACAACAACCTCACACGTTTC